CGGGTGCAGGAGCCCAAGGACTTGGGCTGTCTTCCACTACTTTCCCAGGCATCAGCAGAGAGCTGGACTGGAAGAGGGATAGCTGGGACTAGAACCAGCATCCATATGTGACGCTGGCGCCACAGGCAGAGAGTACTAACCCACTGTGCCACGGTGCCGGTCTCCCTTAACATTCCTATTTATTTATTTATTTATTTATTTGACAGAGTTAGACAGTGAGAGAGAGAGAGAGAGACAGAAAAGTCTTCCTTCCGTTGGTTCACCCCAAATGGCCACTAAGGTTAGAGCTACACCGATCCGAAGCCAAGAGCCAGGTGCTTCCTGCTGGTCTCCCATGTGGGTACAAGAGCCCAATGACTTGGGCCATCCTCCACTGCCTTCCCGGGCCACAGCAGAGAGCTGGACTGGAAGAGGAGCAACTGGGACTAGAACCCCGTGCCCATAGGGGATGCTGACGCCACAGGTGGAGTGAGCCACAGCACTGGCCCCTTAACATTCCTTTTAAATAGCCAGATGTCCTGTAATTAGGTGCATCTACTTTTGTAATAGTTACATTTTCCTGTTGAATTAATCCCTTAATTATTACATAGTGTCTTTTGTCTCTTTTAACAATTTTTGTGTAAAAGTCTATTTTGTCTGATATTAGGATGGTTACACCAGCTCTTTATTGGTTTCTGTTAACATGGAATTTCTTTTTCCATCCTTTCACTTTCAGTCTGCATGCATCTTTTATCTTTTTCTTTCCTTTTTTCTTTCTTTTTTTTTTTTTTTTTTTTTACAGGCAGAGTGGACAGTGAGAGAGAGAGAGACAGAGAGAAAGGTCTTCCTTTACCGTTGGTTCACCCTCCAATGGCCGCTGCGGCCGGCGCACTGCGCTGATCCGAAGCCAGGAGCCAGATGCTTCTCCTGGTCTCCCATGTGGGTGCAGAGCCCAAGCACCTGGGCCATCCTCCACTGCACTCCCGGGCCACAGCAGAGAGCTGGCCTGGAAGAGGAGCAACCGGGACACAATCCGGCGCCCCGACCGGGACTAGAATCTGGTGTGCCGGCGCTCAGGTGGAGGATTAGCCTATTGAGCCGTGGCACCGGCCCATGCATCTTTGTTGCTGAGATGTGTTTCTTTTAGGCAGCAAATAAATGGGTTTTGTTTTTTAATTTAGTCAGCCAATCTGTGTCTTTTATTTGCAGGGTTAAATCCATTTACATTCAAGGTGACTATTGATAAATAACAATTTTGCCCTTCCATTTTTCCATAAATATTCCTACTTTTTACTTTGGATTTTTTTTGTAATTTTACCGAGAGATTTCCTTCCTTTACTTTCTTTCATAGTGATGACCGTGTTTCTGTGTTTCCATGTGCAGCACATCCTTAAGCATCTTCTGCAGGGCTGTATAGATGGTAACAAATTCAGTTTCTGTTTGTCATGGAAGGTCTTTATTTCACCTTCGTTCATAAATGAGAACTTTTCAGGGTATAGTATGCTGGATAGACAGTTTTTTTCTCTTAAGACTTGGAATACATCTTGCCAGTCTCTCTTAGCCTGTCGGGTTTCTGATGAGAAGTCTGCTGTGAGTCTAACTGGAGATCTTTTGAAAGTAATCTGTTGTTTCTCTTATGCACATTTTAGCATTTTTTCTTTATGTTTTACTGTCAAGAGTTTGATTACAGTGTGTCATGCTGAAAATCTCTTCTGGTCATCTATTATAAGTTCTATGTGTTTCCTGTATTTGTATGCACCTTTCTCCAAATTGGTGAAATTTTGTTACTATTTTTCACTAAAAAGGCCTTCTAGTCCTTTCTCTCTTTCCACGCCCTCAGGAACTCCTAGAACCCATGTGTTGGGTCATTTGATAATATCCTTTAGATTCCCAACAGTTTTTTTAGTTTTCTAATTTATTCTTCTTGCATTTGATCTGACTGTATATTTTCCTGTGCTTTGTCTTCTAGTCAGATATCCTTTGTTCTGCTTCACTGATTCTGTTGTTAAGGGTCTCCACCTTTTTTTTGGTTGTTCTATTGAATTCTTCATTTCCAAGATTTCATTTTGATTTCTCTTAAAGATCTCAATTTTGTTGGAGAAATTTTCTTTCTTGTTGTGCATGGATTTCATTAGTTTGTGCATTTGCTTCTGATTGCATCTAAGTAATCCTGTGATCAGTTTTTTGAATACCATTTCTGGCATTTCTTCCATCTCATCATCTTCACAGTCTAGTATTGAAGTGTTGTGTTCTTTTGGGGATGTTATGTTGTTTTCTGCATTCTTATTTCTTGAATTGGTGTGTTTGTTATTTGGCATTTGTTGAGATACTCACTGATTTCTCCTTCCCCCGACTCCCTGCTGTGGCAGCTTTTATCTTTGGACTATGTCTGAGTGGATTAGTGGAGTGACTCCTCTCAGGGAATGCCTAGGTGTGTGTGGCCAGGGAGCTCTGTTCAGTGCTCCAGGGAGAAGGCATTTTTGAGGTGAAGGTGACACTCCCAGGTTTGGCGTTGTAAGTCTTCTTTTTAATTAGGAGGGCATTTTCTTCTTGTCTGTTGGCATAGACTCAGCTGAGCTCCTCTCCTCGAAGGAGATCAGTGCCTGGGCGCTAGCCCCAGTGGGTATATTATTCATCTGCTCTGCCACAAGGACCACACAAAGGATCTGCACAGTCCTCATTATAAGCTCAGATCCCCCAGCAGTGTCCCTCACCAGGGAGCCCTGATCATGTGGAGCCTCCCACAGTGACTGTCCAGTGTCCCAGGCACACCCTGAGTCCTCTCACATAGCTTCAGTGTTTTCACAGTCCTGGCACACAAGCCTCCCACAGTCACGAGCACCCTGCCCCCTCAGGAGTCTCCACTAGGCTGGTTTCTAGGCAGGAACGTGAGCTGGTACAGCTGTTACGTATGTCCAAAATGACACCTGCTCTCTGTCAGCTTGTTACAGGACACCTTGCAGGATGATCAGAGAGACAGAAATGTGCCCCCTCTTTGTTTTTTTCTCCTCTAGTTTGGTGGGCTCCAAGCTGGATTCCCTCTTGGCTATTCCTGCAGCTTTTTTGCTAGTGACTTGGGCTGCTGTAGTCTGGTCTCACCTCACTCTTCAACGCTGGTGTGGAGGCTCTCAGCTGCTGGTATCCTAAGTTGTGCGCATCCTTGCCCTCCATGGAGATCTACTGTGTTTCTCCAATTTGTGTAGAATTTTCTCTGCTGTTTTCTCTTTAACTCTTATTCCTCATGCCTTTTTCTAATTCTCCCCTTAATGTTCATCTTTAGATTTTGCTGGCTCTTAATGGGGTTGAAACCACAGTAGCAGATGCTTTGCTTATATTTAGCAGTTTCCACTTGTGTTGATGATTGCTTTATATGGTATAGTTTTTTTTGTTTGTTTGTTTTGTTTTGTTTTGTTTTTTATTTTATTTTTTGACAGGCAGAGTGGACAGTGAGAGAGACAGAGAGAAAGGTCTTCCTTTGCCGGTGGTTCACCCTCCAATGGCTGCCGTGGCCGGCGCGCTGCAGCCGGCGCACCGCGCTGATCCGATGGCAGGAGCCAGGAGCCAGGTGCTTCTCCTGGTCTCCCATGGGGTGCAGGGCCCAAGCACCTGGGCCATCCTCCACTGCACTCCCTGGCCACAGCAGAGAGCTGGCCTGGAAGAGGGGCAACCGGGACAGAATCCGGCACCCCAACCAGGACTAGAACCCGGTGTGCCGGTGCCGCTAGGCGGAGGATTAGCCTAGTGAGCCGCGGCGCTGGCTATATGGTATAGTTTTAATGATAGAAATTTCCTTTTACTTTTTGTTAATAGCAGTGGGGACACATGTGTATATATGCCTGTGTCATGTTGTTCTGTCTAGAGAATATATTTTTTTTAAAGATTTTTTTAAATTTATTTTGGAAGAGTTACAGAGAGAGGAATAGATGGAGAGTGATAGAGAGAGCTCTTCTATCCACTAGTTCACTCCCCAGATGACCACAATGGCCAGCTGTAGGCCACAGCAAAGCCAGAAGCTGAGAGCCCCATCTGGATCTCCCTATGTGGGTAGCAGGGGCCCAGAACTTGGGCCGTCTTCTGTTGCTTTTCCTAGACCTTTAGCAAGGAGCTGGGTAGGATGTAGAGTAGCCAAGACACTAACTGGTACCTATATGGGAGGCTGGCATTGCAGGCGGCAGCTTAAGCCACTATGCCACATTGGATTCTACTTCACCCAGTATTCCAAATTGAATTTAATCTGGTGTTGGGCATACGGCACATTGTATCCTGAAGAGTAGTGGAGAGATATAAGGAGATCTGTATTCAGTTCAGCTTCAAATCCTATCATTTGCTCATGAATTTCTCAGGCTTTTAAGCCACTGTTTATAAAACTGCAACTGTACTGAGTTGTTGTGAAGATTAGACAGGATATTTTTATGGAGTACCTGTTGTATGATAGGTGTTCAGTCATTGTCACTTCAGATCTTGGACAAGAGATGGGATGCAGGGAGAAAGCTCTTTGGAAAGTTGTTTCCTCTGCTCTAACAGTTTTTCTTAGTCCTCTCTCAGCTGTGTGCACACCTGGTGGGAAAGCATGATGGAGGCCTCGATTGCTTCCCCAACTAATGTCCAGCACTGCTGTTACCATGGTAATGATGCTTCCAGTACTGTAAGCTGCAATAAGGAGGAACATGATGATTTTTGTTTTCTTCCTTTATCCAGGCCTTCTAATAACTCTAATTAGATTATATTTCTGCCTTGAATCTTCTTTATCAGGTAATTTTTTCTAATGTGAATATAAATTGAGAATGTTATCCCACAAGACCCTCTCAGCATAGCAACACTGTGGATGTTTCCACCTTCATCCGCTGCATCCCAAGTGGTATGGCTCAGGGCCACTGGGCACTACTAATAGGCTTTGCAATTGTACATGTTGTCAGGGCCAAAACTGCTTCTCAGGAGATAAGCAAGACTAAAGCAAAACAATCAAGCAAACACAAACTCAGCCATGTTGTACAGTCTGACATGTTTTCTGTTTGTTCCAGGAATCCTCACTCTGGCATCTGGAGTGGTGGATTTACTTCAGTTCTATTTCCCAGAATCTTTTGATCGCCTTCCCAGGGACTCTGGCCTCCTGGATGGCCCCAAACCAACTGTCCTGGAGTCTTGCAGTGTAAGCGACTTGGCAATTTTGCTAAGAGGGAATAAAAGGAAAACCCAGCCCATTGAATTTGGAGCCCACCAGGTGAGCTGCTTGTAATGGTATTTATATTTTGAAATAAAAGGCAGTTTGCAATTGAAAAAAGGTTTGAAAGGCTGAATTATTCCACAAGGTAGAATTCAGCAGCTCCTGTTTCAGAATGGGTGAGTTCCAGAGTTGGGTGAATGATTGATTGTTTTCATCTTTCCACTGGCCTGGCTGGCCAAGTCCATGCTGGCTGTTTCTTTTTTTGTTGGTTTCTTTTTTTTTTCTTTTTTCTTTTTTCTTTTCCTGCACATCAGCCATCTGGGTGGTGTTGATGTCGTCACCACACTCAGATAGCAAATATTCCTTCACGTCATCTGTGGGCTGTTTCTAATTAAAGAAGTAGACTGTTACTAGGTTTTTCATTGTAGAATTTGACTTTTGTTTTGTTTTTCTTCAGGTAATCCTTGTAGCCAATGAAACGGCTAAGGAGAAAATTCCAGAAGAGCTGGGGTTAGCACTTGTACTAACAATTTATGAAGCAAAAGGCTTAGAATTTGATGATGTCCTCCTTTACAACTTTTTTACTGATTCTGAGGTATATCATACTGAGTTATTTTCACACAATGTATGTAGCAAGGGGGTTTTAAAATGTTCATAGAAGAATGGAAATAAATGAAAAACTTATGGGGTGGGTGTTTGACACAGTGGTTAAGATGTTGCTTGGGACACCCACATTCCTTATTAGAGAGCCTGGATTCTGCTTCTCACTCCATTTCTAATTCTAGCTTCCTGTGCATGCATACTCTGGAAAGCAAAAATGAAAGTTTAAGTAGTTGGGTCCTTGCCACAGACCACATGGGAGACCCAGATTGAGTTACTGGTTCCTGACTTAGGCCTGGCCCAGCCCCAGCCATTGTGGGCATTTGAGGAGTGAACCAGAAAATGAGAGCTTGCTCTTGCTCTCTGTCTCTCTCCCCATGTTTGTATGTCTTTCAAATAAAAAATTTAAATATAAATTTTATGAAAAATAGTTTTTAAGGCCACCTTATATATTCTGTCTGAGCTGAATTTTAATTTTGGCAAAGAAAATTTGGAGCTGAGGATAAGAGTCTGTGACAGGTACTTGGTTGTGTCTCTGGGGGTGTCATCCTTTCAGTGTCAGGGTCTATGCATGCAAAAATAGGTTTTGACAGTAGCTGTGGGTTGTTTCTCAGTGTCCTGGGCTGGCTGTCCCCTGCCCTGCCCTGTGCCCTGAGTATCTTGTACTCTTTTGTAAGCCTAGAACCCAGGTGCCAGTGTCCAGTTTTCATTAGCTATAATTTGCAGTTAGCTCTGTTTGTGAAAGAAAACCCCAGTTCTTCTGACTCACGTTGATGCTGAAATAGGAAAAAGGCTTGGGTATCTTGACCGTGTGCTCCCACCAGTGGGTTAATGAGTTGCCCAGAATCAAAATGATCCCAAACTGAATCTTTTGGTAATATCTGCTTCATCCTGTGCACACAGTAAGGCTTCTCCAAAGACTTTTATTGTGGTGCGTGCCAATCTTGGTGTGTCGTGTATTTCCTAGTGTAAAGGACTCCCTGAGCTTATCATTTACAACCTCCAGAGCAAAAAGAGTCATCAGCAAATGAGAGGAACTGCTTTGATAAGATGAAAAGAAAGACAGCACATACATCCCCAGCCTCCTGTGCTCGAGCTGATGATCTGGGCGTCCTCTGAGGGGACCACCTGAGGGCTGTTGAACAGTGATTGTTGTGTGACACAGGGAACTGGGAGAGTTTCTCTCCCTCTCTGACCTTGTCTCTCATCCTCTGTTTATGTTTCAGGCAACCACTGTTTGTAGCACCTGCCACCTGGGCAAGCATGAGAGAAAGAGAGAGGAGGAGAAGGAGAGAAAGTTTGGTGGGGAAGTCCTTGTTGCCTTTGTTATTCTCTCTACTAGAAAAATTTACTTTTGCCTGTGCAGTCACATGATCATCAGAAGGAGCCCAGGAGTAGTCATACCACACCCTTCTCTTGCAGAATGTTGCCTCTCTTTGGGGGAGGGGCAATTGTTGTCTCTATCACCCCAAACTACTCCTCTGTTTGGACTTTAAAGGGTGTCTACCTTGTGCCTCAGTGAGGAGTCTGCCTTTACACTCATGTGTGAATGGGAGAGAGAGAATTTGAAGGCTGGAGCTTCTATGGTTGTTTAACTGACTTAGAGAATAGGCCCCAAGTCTAGGTTGGATAGTGGAATCTTTTCTTTTACAATTATTGGTGCCAAGAGAAGCAGCTGGAAGATGCTGAAATGCTGCTGCTTTGATTACCACAAGTCTGTCAGGCCTGTGTCCTTGCCACAAATACTTGCACTCATCACTGAAAGCTTGGTGTTGGAAATAAAATGTGTTTCATTCATGGAAGCAGGTCAGTCGTCCCCATCTGAGCAGCTTTTCTCCTCTTCTAGCAGTTTTCAAATACGTTATGCTTCCCAGGCCCTGTCAAGGTCAGCCCATCTGTACTCGAGATGCCACTGGAGGATCGTCTCAAATGTCAAGTGTTGGTGTCTTTTGCCTGTTTTTCTTGGCAAACATCTTGCTGTCTAAATAATGTCACACAATAAAGCTGAAAAAATGTTTTAGATCTTTCAGTTACTTAAGTGATTTTTTGATTAATGCCAATTAATTCTACAGTTGATTTGTAGCATAAGTGTTCCTATTTAGTGGACAGTGTTTAAGGCACCTAACCTACTTTACTTAGTTTGTGATGGGGTCACTTAAGCAGTTATGAGCTGTGTCCATTCCATCTTTTCCCCAACCTTGAAAAATCACATAAATGGAAAGCAGCACCATTTTTTTAAATTTAATTTTATTTATTTATTTTTTTATTATTTTTTGACAGGCAGAGTGGACAGTGAGAGAGAGAGACAGAGAGAAAGGTCTTCCTTTGCTGGTGGTTCACCCTCCAATGGCTGCTGCGGCCGGCGTGCCGCGGCTGGCGCACCACACTGATCTGATGGCAGGAGCCAGGTGTTTCTCCTGGTCTCCCATGGGGTGCAGGACCCAAGGACTTGGGCCATCCTCCACTGCACTCCCTGGCCACAGCAGAGAGCTGGCCAGGAAGAGGGGCAACCGGGACAGAATCCAGTGCCCTGACCAGGACTAGAACCCGGTGTGCCGGCGTTGCAAGGCGGAGGATTAGCCTAGTGAGCCGCGGCACCAGCCTTTGAATTTTTTTATTTGTTAAAGATTATTTATTTGAAAGGCAGAAATATGGGGAGGATGGAGAGAGAGAGAGAGATCTTCCATCATTCCCATTGCTTCTCGGCCTTTTAACTTTTAATCAAGTGTAGTATCTTCCATCATTCCCCAAATGGCTGCAACAACCAGGTCTGTGCCAGACTGAAACCAAGAGCCAGGAGCTTCTTCCAGATCTCCCATATGGTGCAGGAGCCCAAGTGCTTGGACCATCTTCCACTGCTTTCCCAGATGCATGGGCAGGGAGCTGGATCAGAAGTGGAGCAGCCAGTTCTCAACCAGCACCCGTATGGCATGCAGGCCCTGCAGACAGAGGCTTAACCTTCTGCACCATAGCGCTGGCCCTGGGGTCACCTTGATTTTAAGATTTGGGTAAAGAAAATGGGTAAAATAATGAGCACGGTACTAGACCCTGACATTGGTCATCTTTTATTTTCCCAACAAACTTGGGAACTGTCTCTTGCCCCATTTTACAGAACAGAATAGCCAGTGTGTCGTAGGCCACATAGATAGTCATCTTAAGAACTGAGGTATGAATTTGTCCTGTGTGATCTCAGCTTCTGCCTTTTAATAAGTGCACAGCACCTGAATTTTCTTCCAACTTTGGTTTCAGAGTTTAATTAGAAAATTCTGCCACATATGTCTTAACTGCTGGGCCGCAGGGGCATCCCTTAACCATGTTGTAAGAAGGGATGAGGCTTTGTCCCTTTAGTCTCTTGAATATTTTTCAATGAGAATAACTTCATGGCCCCTAGCATTCCTGCAAGAGGTGGGTGTGTGTACCTGGCTTCTCAGTTGTCCTAGCTAAGTGTCTGGGGAATTCTCAGGGTAGCTTCTCTGACCTCTGCATTGCAGCTTTAGCCCCTCTTCATCCAGTCTGAGGCCACAGGATAGACCCCTCCTTACAGCTGGGGTTGAAAGCCGGGCCCTCAGATGGGTCTTAATTCTCTGTGCAGCTTCGGGAGGCGATTTGTACAACTCAGAAGTGTATCCTGTTTCATTCATCACTGTTTTTCAGGCTTACAAGGAGTGGAAGATCATTTCCTCATTCAGACCTTCATCATTGGATTCCGGAGGTAAAAACCAACCCTTAGCTGAAGAGCCCCTGGAGAAACCAAGTTCCTCTCGGGGTCATTCTATCAAGGTGAATCCAGAAATGTACAAGGTAAATTTCTTCTATTTGTTTACACATTTTATGTGGAAAACAGGGCTGGAAAAAGAAGAGGTGATGAAGAATGCAGGCTTGCATTGGCTAGTCTTCCTGTACAGCAGCAATGGGTCTCCCCTGGAGATCCAGGCTGGACAGGTTGGGTACCATCTGACAGGGAAAGTGGGGAGAATGGGTTGTACCTTCTATTCTTCTCCAGCACTCAGCATTATTCAGAAATTTTGGTGCAGTTTTGGGAAAGACAAATAATTTAGTACAATGATATAGTGGAAATTATGAGTAATTTAATTTTTAAAAGTTAAATCATAGCTATTGTGTAAGTGTTATCGAGGTAAACTGTAGGGAACAGGAGACCTGTCTACTACTTTTATAACTTCAGTGAATCAATAATTATCTTAAAACGTAAACACTTAAAACAGATTCAAGTCATCTTTGGCTGATGGTGTGCTCACGTGCCTGTTTGGTGGAAAGGGATGGAGTTTGCACTAGCCTCACTAGGCCTCACTCACCTGTGCTGTGGCTACAGTAGGGTCCTAGCGTTCTGCTCATGGCTGTGCTGTTCTTCTCCACATTTCAGTTTTATATATTCCAGAATTCTTGAAAGTTTAGTTTCTGTGTTAAGCCCCCTGAAGTGTGTCACTCTGTAGCTATACACAGAAAGCTTACGTCTTTGTCCTTAATCTTATCTTTAGCTCCTTAATGGAGAGCTGAAGCAGCTATACACTGCCATCACACGGGCTCGTGTCAACCTCTGGATCTTTGATGAAAACCAAGAGAAACGGGATGCTGCTTTCAAATATTTCATTGAAAGAAATTTTGTCCAAGTTGTGAAGACAGATGAAAATAAGGGTAAGAGCTTTAAAACAGTCTCACTGCTGGAGGCAGCATGCTTCTCTCGGCTGCTCTTATGGTCCTATATGAAGGATATTACCTTCTGAGAGCACTTTCCTTTCCATAGTCGTCTAAGAAATGAGAGTTCTTACTCGTTTGCTGAAGTATATAGGAGAGTGTGGTGCAATGGGATCAGGAGGGTTAGCTCTTTAGGGAAGATCTTTATTTGTCCTTTATTCTTTCTCTGAGACTCTCAACTAATTTGTCATTCCTTTGCCCCAAATTCTTCAATGACTGCAGTGCCTACCAGACACAGTCCTGCTTCATGGCATGCTTGGTTCATTGTGACTTGGCTCCTGACACATGCTAATTATCATCCCCTCCCTCCTCTTTCCCCTGAACCTCTCCCAGCCCTATACTGTTCTCCTTACTTGCCGTTTCCATTGACCCACATGATTTCCCCTGCCTCCTTTTTATCTCTCAGGGACCAGTTACCCAGTTTACCTTCCACAAATGTTTGTTGCATTCCTTTTCTGTGACAATGCCAGAAAGTCCAATGTCTTCCCTTTTCTCTCTTGTAATCTTTCTGATATCTGGCTCATTGGCTTCCCAAGGATTTTTATACTGCATAATTGCTTGCTTGTAATTTTGTCCCATTAACCACAGCTATTATTTTAAATTTATTGATGTATTTGAAAGAGTTGCAGAGAGAAAGAAAGGGAGAGACAGAGAGAGAGAGAGAGATCTTCGATCTGCTGGTTCACTCCCCAGGTGGATGCTATAGCCGGGGCTGGGCCATGCTGAAGCCAGGAGCTTCTTCCAGGTCTCCCACATGGGTAGCAGGGGTCCAAGCACTTGGGCCATCTTCCTCATTTTCCCAGGCCATTAACAGGGAGCTTAACCACAGCTTTTTATCTCTGTGCTTGCAGAGTCAAGTCTATGCTTGACCCATGTTAGGTAGTAAATCGGTATTAAAAGGATGAATGTGGGGCTGGCGTCATGGTTGCCATGGCGCACTAGGCTAATCGTCCGCCTGTGGCACTGGCATCCAATATGGGCGCTGGGTTCTAGTCCTGGTTGCTTCTCTTCCAGTCCAGCTCTCTGCTGTGGCCCAGGAGGGCAGTGGAGGATGGCCCAAGTGTTTGGGCCCTGCACCTGCATGGGAGACCAGGAAGAAGCACCTGGCTCCTGGCTTCAGATTGACACAGTTCCAGCCGTTGCAGCCATTTGGGGAGTGAACCAACAGAAGGAAGACTTTTCTCTCTGTCTCTCTCTCTCTCTCACTGTCTGTAATTCTACCTGTCAAATAAATAAATAAATAATCTAAAAAATATATATGGAAAAAAAAAAAAAAAGGATGAATGGCCTATAGTCAAGACCCACAAGGAATCAAGACTCTGGTATCTGAGCCATTATCTGGTGCCATTAATTCAACTTACCTGTTTACTTGTTTACTTGAGTTCCCTAAATCCACATCTCCCAGCCAATCCTTTTTTTTTTTTTTTTTTTTTTGGACAGGCAGAGTGAGAGAGAGAGAGACAGAGAGAGTTACAGATAGTGAGAGAGAGACAGAGAGAAAGGTCTTCCTCTTCCTTCTGTTGGTTCACTCCCCTAATGGCTGCTACGGCTGGCACTGCGCCGATCTGAAGCCAGAAGCTAAGTGCTTTCTCCCGGTCTCCCGTGTGGGTGCAGGGCCCAAGCACTGTGGCCATCCTCTGCTGCACTCCCAGGCCACAGCAGAGAGCTGGACTGGAAGAGGAGCAACCGGGACTAGTACTCAGCGCCCCAACCAGGACTGGAACCTGGGGTGCCAGCACTGCAGGCGGAGGATTAGCCAAGTGAGCCGTGGTGCCGGCCAGTCCTTCTTGATACCAGAGGTTCCCTTTTCACCCAAGAAAGACAAGACTCCGTATGCTCTACCCCAAAAGGTTATACAAAGAGAACTTTGTGTGTGGACAAACCATTTCCTAAGAGCATTCCCTGATTCTGGCATTCTGCTCACCCAAGGACAGGAATGGGTGAAAATTAGAGAAAATAGGACTTGTTGGGAGAATACAAAATTTTTTAAAGATTTATTTCTTTATTTGAAAGTCAGAGTTACACAGAGAGAAGAGAGGCAGAGAGAGAGAGGCAGAGAGAGAGAGGTCTTCCATCCAATGGTTCACTTCCCAGTTGGCCTCAACGGCTGGAGCTGCGCCAATCTGAAGCCAGGAGCCAGTTTCTTCTGGGTCTCCCACGTGGTTGCAGGGGCCCAAGCGTTTGGGCCATCTTCTACTGCTTTCCCAGGCCTTAGCAGAGAGCTGGATCAGAAGTGGAGCAGCCAGGTCTTGAACCAATGCCCATATGGGATGCCGGCGCTTCAGGCCAGGGTGTTAACCCACTGCACCACAGTGCTGGCCCCAGAGAATACGATTAATGTGTGCTTTTGGGTAATTGATTGGCAGTGTCCTTTTGACTTAAAAGTTCTACCTCTAGCAATCTATGTGAGATATTTTTGTTCAAAATCTCAAAGATCCATGATGTTCATCATAGCCCTGTTTATAATCACAGGAACTAAAAACAACCTAATGTGTCCATCACTGGAGAAAAGGTTAACTGCATTTCTTTCAATGAAATAGCAAATAGCCATTAAAAAGAGAGAGAGGTGCATTTCCATTTAATGATATAGAAAGTTGTTTAAGATTTATTAGATGGGGGAGAAAGCAAAAATTTAAGCAAGCACAGATAGAGTGATCCATCTGTTTAAATAACTTTATATTATACAAATATGAAACTGTATAGGAGTGGGTATTTGGCATAGTGGTTAGGATACTGTTTGAGTTTGGATTTGGGTTTGGTTCCCTGCTTTGCTGTCCATTCCAGCTTCTTGCTAATGCATATCCTGGGAGGCCACAGAAGATGGCTCAAGTCCTTGGGTCCCTGCCAACCATGTGGGAGAATCAGATTGAGTTCTGGTATCCTGGCTTCAGCCTGGCCCAGCTCTGGCTAGTGTGGATATTTGGGGAATGAACTAACTGGTAAAAGATTTCTGTAGAGTCTCTCTATAGACCTTTAAAATAAAATAAACAAAATAAAATAAAATTTAAAAAGCATATTTATAGTTATTAGAATAGAATGTTTATTCGTGTGTGTGTATGTGTGTTTATGTGTGTATACCAACACCTCCTAAGTGTCTAACTAGTAAATGGAATTAGGGGAGTGAGTGTTTGCCCTAACAGTTGGGATGACTGCACCCCACATAGAGTAACTGGGTTCCATCTCCAGCTCTGGCCCCTGAATCTGGTTTCATGCCTGGGGGACAGTGATGATGGCTCCAGTGGTTGGATTCTTGCCACTAAGTTGGGAGACCTGGATTACATTCCTGGGTCCTAGCTTTGGCCTTGGATCAGCCCTGACTCTTGTGGGTATTTGGGGAGTTAGCCAGCTGATGAGAGTTCTGTCTGTCTGTGCTTCTCTCTGTTTCTCTGCTTCTCAAATAGACAGTACTTGAAAAAAATTTGGTTTGTGAGAGTCCGGATAGTGAGGGGTAATAGGTTTTCAAAGTTTGTTTGATTCCTGAGTTTCACAAAACAGGAACCAAGAGTTCAGATAGTAAAGAATTCATCAGAAATTTCTCTGTAGCTATTCAGTATACACGTGTAGTAACAGTTTTAATAGAGTTTGAAGAGAGAACGAGCACATATGCACATGTTTATACCCATAGGTCTGATGCAAACTGTTTATAGTGGTTACCTCTGGTGTTAGGACCAGTGGCTGTTGGATTGTTAGTAGATGTGGACAAATTTCACTTTATACCTATATCCTTCTGTGGTGTTTCTGAGGTTAAAAAATCATGATCATGCATTGTTTTCATAATTTACCAAGACTGAATAATTAAAAATGAAGTGAAGTCCTTCTGGTAGGATAACCTCACAGAAGAGGAAATTGTTCTCTTCCTTGAGGGTCACTGCTGAGTTGGCTTCTCTAGGCCACAGTCAATCCCTCTAATAAGAGAAGGAGCAGGGTGTGGCTGCTGCAAGGACGAGGTGTTCTGATTCCTGAGCGTTCCTCAGCTCACTCCGTGAAGGAAGGCTGTTTCTGGTTATTGCTGGTGGCCCAGTTGGGGACCAGGATCAGATGTTCTGTTCCTAGGACCTGGCTCTTGTGGTGTGAGGGAAATGTTGATTGCTTGGAGTTAAAAACTGGCTTCACAAACTCTCTACCTGCATAGTCACAGGACCTTATTTAGGGCTCACTTTCTCTCTGTAGGCCTTTACTTCTTCAACTAAAAGGGAAATGAGTGAGTTGGCCTGGTATGGTTTTTCTCAGTCTCTCTGTAGCTCACAAGCCTTTGGTTCCCAAAACATGCTGTGGTATTCACTGTGAGAGACCATCAAGATAGACAAATTTTCTAATTTAAAAATTCAAGAAAATTACACTTAATTTTATGTCTTTGTAGCATTAAGAATGCAAGAAAAGCTGCAGTCTTCATTACCAGCTGTAGCTGCACGTGGTATTCTTTCAGAGCATCTGTGTTCCTGGCAAGGGAACTTGGAGGCATGTAGTGACTGTGCCATTGTGCTTCTTCAGCATGGTGCCTCCAGTTTGCTTGCCCTGTTTACAGTCCAGTGCAGGGTTTTCTGTGGGAGTAAAATATCACCAGAGCACTGATAATGCACGTGGATTCAGAACCAGACACTGCAAAGCCATCAGTGCCCAAGGGCAGTAGCAGTGGTAGGACAGGGAGGTATCAGGCACTGAGGCTTAAGGAGTCACTCTCTTGGTTGATATCCATTGGTCTGGGTATCCCTCGCCCCTTCAACTCAGATTTGGCTGTTATTGTAGTTCTGCTGATGCTGGGCAGCAGCAGCCAGCGTAGCTCTCACACAGTGACTGTGCTGCTGAACTGTGGTGCTCAGTATGTTAGGGGTATCAACTGTATTTTCAACTCACAGTGGGGCTTATTGGGATATAACTCCATTGCAAGTCTATGAGCATCTGTACTCGACTATAAAGTTCTGTCACTTTGTTCCTTGCTAAAGCTCTGCTCTGGGAGCTTGATAAGAGCTTGATTTTGGAATTTTGAGGTAGATTTAGTAATTGCTATCTGTCTTCTGATTCATAGCCAGACAAAAGAAAAGTTGACCAAAATTTAAAAACCAGACCACATCCTTCTCGCCTTCACCTCCACCTTCTAAAACCCACAGCAGCCAGGACTGATAAGCTAAAGTATATAATAAAAGAATGTTAGAATGACCACTCAAGTATATCAGCCTGCTCTGGCATTTGTAACAAAATACCATGATCTGGGTGGCTTAATCAACAGAAATATAGTTTTGCACAGTTCTGGAGGCTACAAGTCCAAGATCAAGGCGTTGGCAGAGTGGGTATCTGCAGAGGCCTCTTTTTGGCTCGTAGACAAGCTTCATACTGCTTCCACATGGAGTCTTTCCTCTGTGCTCGCATGCCCCCTGGTGTCTCTGTGTGTTCTGGTCTCCTCTTTTACTGATATAGTCATACAGCGTACTCTTAACAGCCCCATTCTAACTTGGTCACCCATTCTGAGGTATTGTGGTGTTGAGGGTTGCAATTCAGCCATAACAACAGGTTTAATTGGATGCCCAGGGAAGCAAATCCACTTTTCTTTTTCATTTTAGACTTTGATGATAGCATGTTTGTTAAGACCTCGACTCCTGAGGAGTGGATTGCCCAAGGAGAATACTATGCCAAGCACCAGTGCTGGAAGGTAAGGGGCTGGAGCAGGAACCGCTGGGGCCAGTAGCCTCAGCAGGCCTCACGGCAGGTTTTCCCACCTTTGCACGTGTCTCCAAGAAAAGATGAGGGTGCATATGGTGCTCGTGCCCCTTCTGAAACCTGAAGTCACTCGAGAGCTCCCTGTCCAGCGCAGGGATGGCCCCCTTCACTTTGGCCAGGTACCTGCATTGCTGATGGGAGAATGGGAAGTCATGACCTTTGCCCACCAAGGAATCCTTTTGTGAAGTTTTCTCAGCTTTTGCTCTCATCACAAGACAGTAACAGGTTGTTCTCTTACTTTTCAAACTGATCAGATGTAGACTTCACCCAGTCTGACTCTGGTGAGCATGGACTAATAAATAAACTTTGTCACTAGACAGCACTGACCAGTCTCCAGCCAGTCATGTTAGTCAGCCAGCGCAGTTTTTTTCCACAAAATGTTACCTCTGTGATAGACCTTTTGAAGTGTGGGAACTAGGCCGAGAGCCTCATTGCTTTTCCCACAGTCAGCATTCCCTGCATCGCCAGGTCTCAGGTGGGACACCACTGCTGGTGTCTCCTATGAGGTGGTGGTAGTGATGTCTTCACTGGCAAGTTGCAAATGCCCTACTGAAAGAGAAGTGTTTTAAAAATCTAATAAGAAGAATCCTGGTCTCAAGGTTGGTTCTTTGGCTCAGCAAAGTCAGCATGGGCACCTTCTCATTACCATCGCTTCTCTGTCTCATCTGTATCTTGTCAAATGGCATAATGGCTGCTCCAGCAGCTCCAAACACCCTGTGCCCCACAGTGGCCTCTCAACAGGAGTGAAGAGCAGCCACTTTCCTTTCAATCATGAAGTTCCTAGTGGCCTTCTCCTGCATCTCATTGGTCAGTTCCAGGTCATATATAGACCGCGTCCTAGAATCCCCTAGGGATTCTGGGGGAATGGTCTCATCTGGCATTTTCAGCCCTTTAAGGGAGGCAGATTCTGCCATCAGGGAAGAAAGGGCAGAGGGGATACTGAGATCAGCTTGCCAGCAACACTGGCCACCGTAGGCATGGCTACACGGAAGTGCACGTTTCCCAAGGATGGGACTCCCCCATGCATGGGGTGTGCCCCAGGCCTGCAGCTGCTAGTGATGCTCTCCAGAAGAGCAGCGAAAGCTGGTTTAGGACAGATCACTGTACGTCTCAGTGTTCAACTCCTCCTCCTCACAGAGAACGTCTGCAGCTTTTCTGGCAGTTTCTGAACAAATGGACACAGTGACTTCTCTCGAGCAGCTTGTCCTGCTTCTCTAATGGTCCTTCCTTCCTCTGGCATTTCATGGAGTTGGGCCTGAGTGAAGCTACCTGGAAGTGATGGGGAAGGTGAATCCACAAGTCAGAACTTGACAGAAGCCACAGGGGAAGTGTCTGTGGACTGACATGGCCAGAGGGAATTTTCAATGTTTTCTCAGTCCCAGCTCTTAGAGGAGTTTCTGTCTGTTGCAGCAAATACTTCATATCTTGGATTTATCAGTTACGTGACTGCATAATAAGCAATCCCAGCACTTAGCATTTTTTTTTTTTTTGACAGGCAGGGTGGACAGTGAGAGAGAGAGAGAAAGGTCTTCCTTTGCCGTTGGTTCACCCTCCAATGGCCGCCGCGGTCGGCGCACTGCGGCCGGCGCACCGCGCTGATCCGATGGCAGGAGCCAGGAGCCAGGTGCTTTTCCTGGTCTCCCATGGGGTGCAGGGCCCAAGCACCTGGGCCATCCTCCACTGCACTCCCTGGCCACAGCAGAGAGCTGGCCTGGAAGAGGGGCAACCGGGACAGAATCCGGCGCCCCAACCGGGATTAGAACCCGGTGTTCCGGCGTCGCAAGGCGGAGGATTAGCCTAGTGAGCCGCGGCGCCGGCCTAGCACTTAGCATCTTAAAACAAGTCATTTCTGTTGCTCCCAATTCTGTGGGTTAGCAGTGTTGGGTTTAGCTGAGTTGTTCTTCTGGCCTCGGCTGGGCAACTTGGGTCTGCATTCAGCTGCTAGTCAGTGAGGCAGGCTTGCTTCTGGGGGTTGACTGGCACTTGGCTCAGGTGACTGGCGTGACTGGGGTTCCTGGGTTACATATTCTTCATCTTCTTTCTGCTTAGTCTGGGCTTGTTCACGTGACACCTGAGCAGGATTTAGAGAAGTACCAGGATCTCTTGAGGACAGGCCTTGGAACTCACTAACATTTCTTTTGGTGAGCTCTGTTGGCCATAGCAAATCACAGCCCAGATTAGAAGGGAGGGAAAATAGGCAGCAGTCATGAGGGGAGAACCGGCAAAGTTGTACAAATCGAAGGGGTATGGACAGATACAGATGGCGTAAAGGACTGTGGCCACCCTTGCCATTGGGACATGGGGTAGAAGTATAGAATGCATGCTGTTGTAGCTTTGGGTCTATCTAGAAGTTTGTTTCATAAGTACATAGTTTTTAGTTGCAAAAGGTGACTGAGCCCCAAAACTTGTTATTCACTTCTTGTCCTTGCTTTAACTCGCTGTTGTAACACTAGGATTTTTTTTTTTTTGGTAGGGTGTGGGTGGGCAGTAGGGAGGGAGATGAGGGATAATATGGGCAACAGGCATGGGTATGAAGTTGAAAAACTCTAGTCTTTCCCATCATTCCCTTCATAACACTGTTGGTGTTACCCATATGTGTTGCCCATGGGTTTCCAGTTATCTGTCCCTTTAAATATACCTTTTGAATGTTTAATCTAAAATCTTTTTAGGGGAGCCGGCACAGATGAGGATGTTATAAAAAAGCCCCCTTGCCTGACTTTATTTTGACCCTGCTAACGGACTTCAGGACTCAGGTGGTTTATTGAGTTTGTGGCTGCATGTCAATGAATGTTTCAGAACCACCATACAGGATTCATTCATTCAGCAAATCTCTTTTGAGCTATGGGCCAAGCATTATGTTTCAGTCCCAGTGTATAAGGAGAAGCAAAACGGGCAAATAGATGGGTACACAGTTGCAGCTGTTGTGGGTGTCACAGATGAGAGACCCCCAGAACCACCTTTCCTGGACAGGGAGGCCAGAGAAGCCTTCTTAGAAAGAGACCTGTAGAATGAATAAAGTTAACCAGGCGAAGAAAGGATGGAAGAGGATTTCAGTTAGAAGAAACAGTGTGTGCAAAGGCCCCATGCTAAGAAGGATCAAGGCGTAGATCTCAGGTGTGCAAGGAGGCCCCTGGGGCTGGGGAGGCTGAGGCCAAGAGCATGAGTGGGGAGAGAAGCCATCCTGCCCACTTTATCAGCAGACGCCTCTTAGCCCCTGCCCTGCCCACACTGAGACCTGATGTCTACGTGCTGCTGCGTAGAATGTGAACCTTCTGCCCTTTGTAGCCTGTGCTGGGAGACATGGTGTCAGCATTTCTGTGTTAGAAAAACAGCTTTCTCCTGCAAGGACCAGGTTGCGGCTGACTCCTCTGTGACACGTGTTTGCACATCTTACAGTCAGAGGATCTGGTAATGCACCTGGATGTGCTGCACTGTCGTGTCCAGTGCCAGCGCCACCTAGGACGTGTGCTGCAGCCGCTCCCCCAGCACTGCCAGGAAGCCAGCAGTTGCCAACTGGGTCAAAGCACAGAAAAGCTCCTGGGTGATTTTAGACCATTTGTTCCATGGCTCTGACCTGAGGTTGCTTCTGTATACAACGAGGAGGATGACACTTCTTACATGTGGCTACTGGAAGATTAAACTGAGTGGTGCTCTTGTGGCCTAAAAACATACATATTATATACCTTTTCCATGACTTCCAAAAGGAACCTTTGCATGTGCAGTGTCGGCTGGTAGCACTGTTAGTCTTTATCCTCTGTGGCTGCCGTGGCAGTTCTGCACCTTCCTGTCCCTCCCTCCCAGGTGGGGTAGGGCAGGACCAGGTACTGTATCAGCATAAGCATGTAATGCATGCTCTAACTCCTGTTCTGTGTGTTACCTCCAATGCCTTAGTGATAATCAGAATTTTTTCCCTATTCCAGGTTGCAGCCAAGTGTTACCAAAAAGGAGGTGCATTTGAGAAGGAGAAGTTGGCTCTGGCCCACAATACTGTCCTGAACATGAAGTCTAAGAAAGTCAGCCCTAGGTAAGAGTCTCAGGATCATTTCAGGTTTGCTCTAATGAGAGTAGCAGGTCAAATGTGTTGGTGTTAGATCAGCATTCCATGGGTTGTTGTTTTATTTGCTGTTTTATTTCCCTTCCTTCAGGGAAAAGCAGTTGGAGTATTTGAAACTGGCTAAGACATACTTGGAATGCAATGAGCCAAAGCTGTCGCTTAAGTGTCTGAGCTGCGCCAAGGAGTTTCAGCTCTGTGCCCAGCTGTGTGAGAGGCTGGGAAAGGTATGGTGCTCCCAATCGATAGCAGCCCCTTGGGAGAACTGGGCTTGTCTTGAACAGATTGAGAGGAGGACCATTCAGCCTCTGCTTGGAGCAGGCAAGGGCCCTGGTCCTCCACTGAGGGAGAGCCTGGCTCTGGTGACTCTAACGGCTGTCCTTCTTCCTCTGTCTGCTCAGACTTCTAGAAGTCTCTGGAGACTCTGTGTGTGTGTGTGTGTGTGTGTGTGTGTGTTCCTCTGTGTCTCTATTAAAGTTCAAGGCCTGATATTAGCCACAGGGAGGTCAGATGTCCAAGTCACAGATAGGTTTTAGAATATTCTTGCCTTCTCTTTCTCTATGTTTGCAGTCTGGATTCAGCTTGAGTAAGAAGCCTGGGCTTGACATGGGGTTTTTCCTGTGTTCCTAGCAATTACTTTAGATATGCATGTCCCCAGCAGTCACATGTGGTTATTTAATTTAAAATTTAAATTAATAAAAATGTCATAAAGTTAAAAATGATGCCTTCAGTCTCCCTAGGCATACTGCAAGTGCCCATTGATAGGGGACATTTGCAGCATCACAGAATGCTCTTTTAGAGAGCTGCTAGCCCAGAGCTCACCCACTTGGAGTGGTCAGCAGGCTGGCAACAAGCCCAAACTTCATTTGTCAGCAACAAGATTAGCGCATGAGGTGAAAGGAAGCAGCCGGTAATTTTTACAGCCATTTGGCATTGCTGAGACATACAGGGGGTGGTTGTTTTCTTGTGACTAGTTTTTAGTGTGCCACTTTTGATGGGCTCAAAATTTCAAGCAGCCGGGTCTTCCTCCACAGGTGGTTCGAGAGGCTGTAGATGGTGCGTTTTCCACGTATTGGCATCATGACTGTGGCTGGAGGGCAGGGTCTGTGTGTGCATGTGAAACATGCAGCATGCTAACTCCTTAGACCCTCTGTCCACAGGCTAGGGATTAGGGGTGGGGACTGAATTGTGGCCCCGAGTCAGTGTCCAAAAACATGCTAAGACCCTCTTGATGTAGTCTGTCCTGCTCCATGATTATTACAGGTTTTAGGAAGTGGGAACAGAGGGGCATCCTGGAGAAGACATTTCACTGGGGATGGAAGTTTGGGTCCTAGATTCCAGGAACAAGAATAGTATCCAACTTCTGCCCTCCAGTCTTCAGTACTGCCTCCTTGGATCCAAGAGAAGGCCTCAGCTTGTCACTGTCCCCTGTTGTCTGTAAGCATCTGGCATGACTGAAGCAGAGACTCCATCCTTGTCTCCTGACCATCCTTTCTCCTGTCAAGCTGCACATCTGAAGTGAGAATGGATGAGGGGAAAGGCCGGGGATCCCTGACGTGCACCCACACTCCCTTCTCCAGGACTTCAGCACCTTCTGAACATGGAGACCGTACTGCCCCGGAAGCCTGACACTCCCTCTGTACTTCTGCCTCCGTGGGGCCAACTCCTAGATGCTGCTTCCTCGACCTTCTCTCAGCAGCACATCCTAGCAGTTCTCACCCCATGCAAGGAGGAGCCTGGACCCCTTTCTTGGCTCATGCCCTGTCTGGAAGAGTGTTCACCCTCAGCCAGTCTCAGACATCTTCTGGCCTCACTCCAGCCAACTGACAGTATTCAAAATGAGCAGCGTGGTGGCAGCTTTTGCCTGGATTCTGAGGCCAGATGACCTTCCTGTTCCCAGCCCCCAAGTGTGCGCTGCCCTGGGATGAAGTGTTTGTGGGGATGTGTGGGAGTAGTAAGCTTTACTGTCAGGCAGTCGTGTGCCCTGCCTACTTCCTTTCTCCAGAGAGCAGCATTGGTGTCCCTGGATGCCGTGTGGAGTGGGCTAGAGCAGGCGCTGCTGCTTAGCACTGGCTCTCCCTTCCTGCATCCAGCTGGTCACACACGTGGCACATGACATGCCCTCACTCACACACAGGGCGTTGTCTTGAGAGTAGTGAGCACTGTGGAGAGAGAAGATAGAAAACAGAAGTCTTAGTGGGAAGGCTCACTGATGTGGCTGAGACAAGTCTAAGCACTTCTTGGTCTGTGAGCTCTGGAAAACTTGCCTGTGAATCTTAGTTTTACTTTAGCACTTCCTGCAGCTTGTCTCATTCAACATCACTAGTATCATTTTTTGGAGGGGCCTGGCAAATATTTGTTGTTGCACTTTAGTTTTTCCTTTGAACCTCAGGATTAGCGAGTAGCATTATGAAATTAAATACTCAACACATTGTAGACCCCCTGCTGTGTGCCAGGCACTGTAAGTGCTGGTGACCAGGGGGTCTCAAAGCATAGACCTGGGCCTAGCAGAACTTCCCTTTCCACTGTGGGGGAGCTGAGGGGATAAACAGAGTACAAGGTGTCAGTGGTGATGAGGGCTAAGAAGAAAAGAAAGCATGGTGGAGGAAGAGGGTATAGAAGGGGCTGCAGGTGCAGAGGGAGGCTTCAGACAGTTGATTTTTGAGCAGACATGATAACAGCTTCTGGAGGGCATCACAGGCCAAGACCCTCACAGGCAAAGCCAGCGTCGCGTCTTGGTAGGTTTGGAGAGCAGCAGGGCACCCAGTTGTGCTGGAGCTGAGTGAGGAAAATAGCAGTGGTGAACTGATTGCCACAGGCTGGCAGGAGTGGGTGTGGTGAGGCCTTGTGGCGCACAGGAAGGGCTGGATTTTGTTCAGATATGACGGGAGCCAGTGGAAGGTTTGGGTTGGAGGAGTGTCATGAAACTATTTGGAAGCTCTGAAGGGCAGCCAGGGAGAGGCAGAAAGCAAGGGAAGTTCGGAGAATCTAACAGTGGCGCAGGCTGCAGTGGGGCCTGTGCTGCTGGGGTGGTGGAGATGGGAAAGAAGGGGTCACATCTGGGGAATATCGGGGCAGCTGAATGGACAGTGTTAGCTGATGGACTGGATGGAATGCGTGAAGTGGCTAGGAGTCTGATGTCTGCTCTGCTCACGGGAGACCCACCATTGGTGAGGACAGGCCCACTCATTGCATTTTATGTTCGTCCTCTTGCTCTTTGCATTCTCTTCTCGTTGGCAGCCATTCCAGTATATTTGGTCTGTGTCTTCAAGTGCTCGTGTTCATGAAGAATACCTAGTGGTGTCTTCTATAAGTGTATATTTCAAACTTGTCTAAATGGCACCTTATTCTGTTTTCACTTATTCCTACCCCATATTATAGTGTTAAGATCTGGCCCTGTTCATGACCACTGGGGTGTTCTCAAGTAGGTGTCTCTGCACGGATTTATCTACTTAGATCTAGTCTGTCATCAGCTCCTGGCTGCCACTCATAACACCACGGTGCAGCATGTCTCCTTACAGTCCTGGGCAAGATTGTTCTTGAGATATGTTGCTGGGCTGGGCTGGGCTTGTGGCCCCAGAATATGCATATGTCTTATTTCATTTAGTGTGGCCACTTTGCTTTCTAGAATGGATGTGCTACTTTGTGCATGAGAGTTTCATGTTTCCCATTGTCTTGGCCACATTCAGCGAGTTCTGATTTTCCAATTTTTCGCGAGCCTGGTGGGTGTATCTCATTGTGGTTTTAGTTTATAGTTCTCTAATTATTAGTAGAAATGGACATTTTAATTTATTTGTTATTTATTCAAGCTTCCACTACTGTGGAAGTTTATAGCCTTTGCCTAGTTTTCTGTTATGTTTTCAAGAAAGCCTTTTTCTTGTGGTTGCAGGAATTTTTATGTTCTAGACTTACGTAGTCCAGTCACCACTAGTCATGAGTGAATATTTAAACTTAAACTGATTAAAATTAAATAAAATTTAAAACTTAGTTCCTCAGTTTCATTGTCTCCATTCCTTTCTTTCTTTCTGAAAGATTTATTTATTTGAAAGGCAGAGTTACAGAGAAAGAAGTAGGCACGCGTGCACATGCACACACACACACACACACACGCAGATATTTTCCATCCTCTGGTTCACTCTCAAGATACCTGCAATAGCCAAGGCTGGGCTAGGCCAAAGCCAGGAGCTGGGACCTTCTTCCAGGTCTCCCACATGGGTGGCAGGGGCCCAAGCACCTGGGCCATCTTCCACTGCCATATCCAGGCCGTCAACAGGGAGCTGGATCAGAACTGGAACAGGTGCCCATATGGGATGCCGACATCCCAGGTGGTGGTTTTACCCCCTATGTCACCATGTCAGCCCCTGTGCACATTTCAAAGGCTCCATATTCAAATGCGGCTAGAGGCTAGAAGATTGGATAGCATAGATATATAACATTTCTATCTTCACAGACAGTTCTGTTAATATTTGTCATCTACTAATTTTTATTTCATGTGTTCTTTATTGAAGTGTTTTGATGTAACCAAATCTGTCAGTTTTTCTCCTGTTCTATTTTTGTTTTTACTTCAAAGTCACAAAGATAATGTTATATATTTTCTCTTAATAGTTTTCCTATTTAAGATCTTTAATCCATCAGGATATATATATATATATATATATATATATGGTATAAGGTTGTGGTTTAGCTTTGTTTCTCCCTATTAAATAACTAGTTTGCTTACTATTTTTAATTATGTTTTAGTGTTTTTTAACTTAATACTAAAAAGGCATATGGTCTTCCTCTTTATTACTCATAGTAGTAGTATATTTTTAAGATTAGAAAGTCGTGAATATGCTAAATAAAAAGTAAACTTGCTCTGTCCTAGATAAGAGAGGCGGCCTATTTCTATAAACGAAGCCAGTGCTACAAAGATGCTTTCAGATGCTTTGAGCAGATTCAGGAATTTGATCTGGCTCTCACAATGTACTGCCAAGAGGAGCTTTTTGAAGAAGCGGCTATCGCAGTGGAAAAGTAGGTGGTTTTCTTCTCTCCCCTCGCTTCTGGGGCCGCTTGCCCTGGGTGGTGTCGTCCTCGCCCTGTGAGGGAGCTTGATCACGTCGCCCTCCTTCCACTTGAGTGTGGCCTTGGCGCTGGCTCAGGAGCTGCTTGAGAGCAAGACGCAGAGTTTTTCACTCTTTGTCAGCTTTCATAGCAGGAAAGGAGCAGAAGAAGATGAAGGGTGCGTATATATAGCAGACTATCCTGGCTCATCTGTGGAGTAAAGGCGGCCTGTCAGTGCTTCATAGCCGTCTGCACACCTGGCCAAGGAGCAGAGCCACAGCTGGATGGTGAAGGGGGAGATGGATGTGGTCACTGATGTGTCTGCAGCCCATCTCATCCTTTCTTGTTGATCACATATCACACTGAACATACTTGTGCACCCTGAATCATGCTCACGCTTTTATGAGAATTGAAGGGATTTTTTTTTTTTTTTTTTTTTTTACTTTTTGTAGCTTTTATTTATGATGCAAATTTCATAGGTACAACTTTAGAACTATAATGGTTCTTCCCCCACACCCACCTCCCAGCCCACTCCCATCCTGCCTCCTCCTCCAATTCCAGCAGTTGGGATGAACATTTGGCACAGCTGCTAAGGCACCACTTGGAACTGAAGTGCTTAGGTTCAAGTCCCAGCTCCCTGTAATGGGCATCCTGGAGATGCTCACGTTCTTGGGGCCTTGCTCCCTACAGGGGAGATCCTGATTGTGTCTTCAGGCTGGCCCAGCACCAGCTACTGTGTACTTCTGAAGAGTGTTTCCTTTTTGGTGTTCAGTCAGTTGTCACCGATCAGGGAGAACATATGGTATTTGTCCCTTTGGGACTGGCTTATTTCACTCAGCATGATGTGTTCCAGATTCCTCCATTTTGTTGCAAATGACTGGATTTCGTTGTTTCTTACTGCGGTATAGTATTCTAAAGAGTACATATCCCATAATTTCTTTATCCAGTCTACCGTTGATGGGCATTTAGGTTGGTTCCAGGTCTTAGCTATTGTGAATTGAGCTGCAATAAACATTAGGGTGCAGACCGCTTTTTTGTTTGCCAATTTAAATTCCTTTGGGTAAATTCCAAGGAGTGGGATGGCTGGGTCGAACGGTAGGGTTATCTTCAGGTTTCTGAGGAATCTCCAGACTGACTTCCATAGTGGCTTGACCAGTTTGCATTCCCACCAACAGTGGGTTAGTGTCCCTTTTTCCCCACATCCTCGCCAGCATCTGTTATTGGTAGATTTCTGAATGTGAGCCATTCTAACCGGGGTGAGGTGGAACCTCATGTGGTTTTGATTTGCATTTCCCTGATTGCTAATGACCTTGAACATTTTTTCATGTGCCTGTTGGCCATTTGGATTTCCTCTTTTGAAAAATGTCTATTGAGGTCCTTGGCCCATCTCTTAATTGGGTTGTTGGTTTTGTTTTTGTGGAGTTTCTTGATCTCTTTGTAGATTCTGGTTATTAACCCTTTATCTGTTGCATAGTTTGCAAATATTTTTTCCCATTCTGACGGTTGTCTCTTCACTCTCCTGACTGTTTCTTTTGCAGTACAGAAACGTCTCAATTTGATGCAATCCCAATAGTTAATTTTGGCTTTGACTGCCTGTGCCTCCCGGGTCTTTTCCAGAAACTCTTTGCCTGTGCCAATATCTTGAAGGGTTTCTCCAATGTTCTCTAGTAACTTGATGGTGTCAGGTCATAGATTTAGGTCTTTAATCCATGTTGAGTGGACTTTTGTGTAAGGTGTAAGGTAGGGGTCTTGCTTCATGCTTCTGCACGTGAAGGGATTTTTGAGGATAATTTTGAGTATGCATACATTTTGCTCCATAGATTGACCTTCCTTTCTTAGTAAACATTTTTTAAAAGTAATTATTTATTTATTTGCAAGAATTACACAGAGGGAGGGAGAAACAGAGAGAGAGAGAGAAAAGGAGAGAGCTTCCATCCCCTGGTTCACTCCCCAGATGGCTGGGGCTGGGCCAGGCTGAAGCCAGGAGCCAGGAGCTTCTTCTGGATGTTCCAAGTGGGAGGCAGGGGCCCAAGCACTTGAGTCATCTATTTTTCCCAGGCCATTATCAGGGAGCTGGATGGGAGATGGAGCAGCCAGTGGTCACTAGGGTGATGGTGCCTCAGGCAGTGGCTTTCAAACTTAACTCCTTCCTGCTTGAGTTGCACTTCATGATGTTTTGTTAATAAAGCACACAGATGCCTGATTTCTTTCAAGAATGCTTTGTTATATATTATTACCTTGATAACTTTCATTTATAAAAGTTCTTGAATGTTGACAAGTCTTATTGTGTAATATCTACATGCTGACGTTTTATTTAAGTTGCTGTGTGCTATATTTTAGAGAAAATTTTGTATTGATTGGGCAATAGGAAGTTGACAATTTGCGTCCTCTTCGTAGGTATGAAGAAATGCTAAAGACCAAGACTTTCCCCATTTCTAAGCTCTCTTACTCTGCCAGTCAGTTTTACTTGGAAGCTGCAGCAAAGTACCTGAGTGCAAATAAGACTGAGGAGATGCTGGCTGTCCTGTCCAAGCTAGACGTAGAAGACCAGCTAGTGTTCCTGAAGTCTCGGAAGTGCCTCGCGGCAGCTGCAGACCTGCTGCACAGGGAAGGGCGGAGAGAAGAGGCTGCCGTGCTGATGAGGCAGCACGGTCACCTCCTGGAGGCCGCCAGGCTCACGGCTGACAAGGGCTTCCAGGCCTCCTGTCTCCTGGCGGCTGCTCGCCTCAATGTGGCCAGAGATTATGACATCGAACACACCAAGGTCATCCTGAGGGAAGCACTTGGTCTCTGCTCTCAAACCAGCCAGTTGTCTGGCATTGCTGAGGCCCAGTTTCTGCAGGGAGTGATCCTGAAAGACTTCCAGAAGCTCAAGGATGCCTTCCTCAAGTTCGACATGCTCAACCACTCAGCCGGAGTGGTCGAAGCGCTGTATGAAGCAGCCAGCCAGTGCGAGGCTGAGGCTGATAAGGTTCTGGCCCTGGCCCCGGTGGGCTTGGCAGTCCTCCTCAGACTGGTCAGGGCCCTCCAAAGGGTGACTACCAACGCTGAGAAGGAAATGGTCAAGTCTTGCTTTGAGTTTTTTGGAATTTCTCAGGTGGACACCAAGTACTGCCAGATAGCTCAGAATGACCCTGGGCCCATATTAAGACTAGTTTTTGACCTGGGTTTGAACTTGAGAGAGAAGAAAACTAACGACTATTTCTTGATAATGACTGAACAAGTGAAATTAGCGCTAAACAAACACCTTTTGAACAGGCTATGTCAAATCACACGGAGCCTGCTTGGGAACACCTACCCTGGGGTCTGCAGGAGGTTTATTGTAGGCTTAAAATGTGAGAAGGAGAGCTGTGAAGATTTCCACAGGCCTCTGCGGCGCTGTGAGGCCAAGTGTTTGGTTCAGTCAAAAACACACCTGGTGGCAATCAATGGATTGCTTTTGGAAGCCAAAAAAGTATTCCCCAAACTCTTAGCTGAAGAACTTAAAGAGATCGACTGTATTCTGTCCACAGACGTGTATGGCTTTTGCAAATCCTTCCTCAGTGTCCTCTTTCCTAAGCATTTCCATCCGAGAGTACTGTCGGAAAACCCTATGGCTTGCAAAGAAGTCCTCAGGCTGAGTCAGGCATCCTTCCGATACTGCAGGTCTGCCTTGAAAGAGTATGTCCATGCTCTGTTCCAGAGTGAAGGGGCTTGCGGCCGCCGCGAATCCACGGACCTGTGGCTGAGCGCCATGCAGGCTTTCCTCCTCTCCTCGCAGTACCCAGAGGAGTTTGAAAAGCTGCTCCACCAGGAGGAGGACAGCTACAACCAGGAACTCCGAGCTCTGGAGTCGGCAAAAGAGGACAAGGGTGGGGGGAGAGGCAGCAGGGCGAAGAGAATAGAAGGGAAGTCCGGCATGCTGGTTCCCAGCAGGGACGACGCGAGCGTGGGGAGGAGCGCCCTGTGCTTCATCCGGCTGCTGGAGAGCTGCATCGACCAGCTCTATGTGCACAGGAACCCGGAGGGCTACAAGAAGCTCTTCTTCCGCTTCATGAACGTTCTCATCAGGCGCTGCAAAGAACCGCTCATCCCCAGCGTTGGAAACACAGTGGCCTTGCTGGAGGCCCAGTTTGTCCACTGCGCGGTGGTGCTGGCCCGCCTCTGGAAGAATGGCGTGCTGTGCCTCCCCAGGAGCTACATTGCGCTCTTGCACTACTGGGAGTTCCTGTTCTGCAAAAAGGACAAGGAGTTCGGGGATGTTTTCTCCATCATTCAGGAGTACAAACCCAAGGACGTGGCCAAAGCCATTCAGGATTTCCGGTTCCACCTCTCTTACCTCGTCAAGGTGCTGTGTGGCTGCGAGAACGTGCACTTCAACGTCATGCTTGATGCCTTCAGTGGGATAGCCCGTGTGGTCTCGGGGGAGGCTGAGCGGACACTGGTGCTGTGCTTGGTGCTGCTGGTGAATGCCCAGGACGTCCTGCAGCCATTCTGCAAGCCTCTCCTCTGCCGCCATTTCCAGGAGATCGCGCGGCGGCTGCAGCTGATGCGGGCGAGCTGTCCGGGCCAGGTCCCCGAGCGGCTCCTCAGGGTGGTGAGGCGGGTGTGCGTGGCGGTCAGTGTGAAGTCTGTGGTGGAAGCATTGCAGGAGCTGCTGTATCAGCGAGATGAAGAGTACCTGATGGACTGCCGGTGGCGCTGGGACGGTGCGCACGCCAAAGGCTCCGTGGTCCGTGGTCTCTCTCATGAAGAAGTCAAACTGAGCAGGTTGCTCGCTATGGAGCCTGTGGTCTACTTTGCAGAACCTGAGTGCGAGTATGGTCAGGATGAGGCAGATGAGCTAGCAGTAGGAGACCGCGACCCCCTGCTGGCCGCCATCCTTCTGCAGAAGCAGCAGAAGGCCTCCGTCCAACGCAAGCTGAGAAGAGTGTGCCTGGTGGTATCTCTGTGCGTCAGCTGGAGGAGAAGCGTGCATGCCCAGGCAGAGGCCACCATGGAGGAGGCCAGAGAGCCTGGAGCTGGGAACTTTAAAAGGGCTGATGTGGACAGGACCCAGTGTGACCTGTGTGGGGTGAAGTTTACCCGTAGCCCTGAGAACTATTTCAGCCCCAGCAAGGCATTCGGGGGAGCGACTCCAGAGGCTGTGGCCCTCTGCAGGGCCGAGCCGGAAGGGGAGGAGTGTCCGGAGAGGAAGAGCGAGTCTTACGAGCAGCACATCCACCTGGAAGGCCACAGGCGGCAGCAGGCGGCCTACCAGAAGTATGCAGAGTTCTTCCGGGAGACGGTGGACCCGGCCATTGACGAAGGGAAGCTGGTGGTGCAGGACATCGAGCAGAGCGTTTGGATCCGCAGCCACGTGGGTTCCAGAGAGCACAGCCGGATGCTGCAGAGGAAGATTCAGGAGCACATCAGGAGGGTTCTGGACATAGTGGAGGACCTCTACAGGAGGAAGGCCTGGGCTGGAGGTAAGGGCCGTGCAGGCGGGGGCGCAGACTGCGTTAGGCCTGGGCTCCGAGAAGGCCTGTGAGGGTTAAGTCCCTGGCGTCTGACTCAGGCGTGTTGGAATCCTGGCCTTAGCGGAAATACGAGTGACTCCGTAGTACAGCCCTCGTTGTTTGGACTGCCCCTCCTCCAGTTAAGAAATTTGTGATTATCGTTGGCTGAGATGGCTTCCCCAGGCACTACGGATGAGAAAAATGGTATGCTAACTGATTCTCTAGAGAGGATGTAGGGAGAATGTTGGAAGTCTTATGAAAATGTGTTGAGCTTCTCCTGATGGATCCATTCAGTGGTCAGTCTCGAGCACCTCCCGTGCGCTGTCTGGCTGAGATCTGGGAGAATGCTGTCTTCCTTTCAGGAGGGCTCCTAAGTCATACCCCTGTGCTCTTTGAAAAGAGAATTCTTACGTGGTCTTCAAGTCAGAGTTCCCCAAGCTTCTATGCTGAGTAGAAGTTAGGTGTGAAGTGCGTGAAATTGCACATTTGAAAACATTCTCTGATTCAGATACTCCAGTTCAGGGCTTACTGGGATTTTGAACACAAGCTTCCTTGAAAAGTCCGCTTTTGGCATTCTCTGTGGACTCACAGTAATGGCATCAGGCTGGCATTTAATTGTAGTGTATGTGGGGGCAGCAGAAGGCAGCCCCTACCCCCATGTTCCCTGAGGGCTGGGCTCAGAAACAGCACAGAGATCAGCTGCTGGGTCGTGGCGACTTTGGCTCTAGTACTGGTGTTCTGGGTCCTGCGGCAGCCTCTCCACTCACAGCCGTTCTCTGGTTCCTGCAGCGGAAGAGGTGATGACTCGGCTGGTCAAGAGCCTGAGCGTGGCAGTCAGAAATGCGCAGGAGTGGTTGATGAGAACAGAGGTCCGCCTGAAGGAGGAAGGTAAGGAGCCCTTCCAGGCCCAGGAAATCCTTCGGCTCCTCCACTTCTCGGTACCACTGGCTCCAAGGTGAATCTGAAGTGAGGCTGCCCATGGGCGTCAGAAGCGGCTTCTCACTGTGCAGGGGTGCCAGCTCTGACGAAGCAGATGACTGCCAAAATAGCGTCTGCGCTTCCCCAGCTGCCTGTGAGTCCCGGTACTCTTGGCTCATATTAGTTGCTGAAAATCTCTTCTGCAGCTCACAAGCTGTTATTGATGATGTTTGGCTCCTGCACAGTGACCCCTAAGGATAGACAAAGCCAGCCCTTGGTAAATATACCTATCATGTTGATCATTCACTGTAGTCAGTGGATGTTTGTTTATAGAGTCTGGTAGGCGTGGGTCTGGGCCAGAGCATACACTTGTAAATAAAAGAAACACAGTCATGGTGGAAACAAGCCTGCATGTTCCCAGGGAGGCTTACAGGCTTATACAGAGCGAGTCGGGCTCCTTCCCCGTGGTCAGAGTCACCTCCAAGCTCTCTGTGTCCTTCCTGCCTCTCCTGGCCAGGCCACCCCTCAGCTGTCTCACCAGCCCCAGAGGCCTCAGAGTTCTAACCCAGCAGGGCCTGGGGAAACTTGCAGGAACTTGGTGCAAATGTCTGCCCATAAAAAGCTTCAGCATAGAACCCCCTGTGGGGACTGTGATTTTGTGATTGTTTCAAGAACGGTAATTGGTGTCCTAACTCAGGAGTATGGTTGAATTGAGACCTTGCTCTAACGTAAGGCAAGAGGCAGCAGTTTGTAAGAAGATCCCATTCTGGAGAAACGTGTTTACACTGCTCATTTGGGGAAGCAATATCAGTACTCGAAAGGAAAACTCTTTCTCTGGCGCTCTGGTGGAAAGCTAGATGTCTTCCAAGTATTACAGAGACATTGGGTTCTTACTCGGGTGTTAGAGTTTGCAGTGGATTGGAAACAGAAATCACCATTCTGCACTCAGTTTCTGTTTTTTGATTTTTAAACAGGTGTTGTTGAGAAAGATGATTATGAAAATGAAGTTGAAGACTTTGGTGAGCTCCGTCCTAGAAGATGTTCACGGAAGTGTGGAAAGCAGAGAAAATACTAAGGTTGCTACCGTTGCTGCCTCCTAAACCCTCAGAGTGCTCCATCCATTAGAAAGAAAGAATATAAATTAGCTTAAGGAAGCTCAGGGGAGACTAGTCACACCTTTGCTTTTGTCCTCCTTGTCTTCTCTTTTAGGTGGTTTAGGGTGTGGTCGCTCCCTGCCCTCGGAGACCTGTTCCATGTTTCCGAGTTAGAGTCTAGCAGTATTAGATGTCCCCAGACACATCCAGGTCGGAGGAGTCATAGCTGAAAGGAACACTGTCCTCGTCTCCACAGAGCTCCCGCTGCCTGGCTGGCTTCTGTGGTGACGAGTCGGTAGCCGGGGACCGGGTGTTCCAGACACTCTGCACCTCAGAGTTGCTACCACTTTGGGCTGGGAAAGGCCTACAGGCTCCCTCATCTGCTGTGACCCCGCTGCAGCACAGCATAGCACAGGAGCTCGTGCATCGAGGGGCCCAGGAGGCAGCCTGTCTAGGCATCTCCAGGCCCACCTGCAGCGCAGCTCCTTCTGCTACATTTGTTAGCCTTTTCTCTCTCTGGCGCCTGCTCTCGGCCATTCTCAGCTGCCTGTGCAAGTCATGGTTTGACTGCACAGAATGTAGCCAAGAATTCACCCAGCATCCTGTGGCCGTCCTTTGTCTCTGGGGAATGTTTCTGGGGGCGTTCCCAGCTGGCCTCTCTCTGCTTGGCTGTGGTGCAGACATTGTGAAAAGTGCTTTGTAGGCAGCCTTGCACGTCTGGTTTTCTTGTTGGCCACTTTGGCCTAGGTTGACATTCTCTTAAGCTTTCACCAGGTGAGGTTGCCATTGTGGGACAGTGACCTGCCAAGCTGCTGGCTGGGAACGGTGGACAGAGGAGGAAGCCAGCTGTCAGTGCCAGTCCGTTGGGATTGGGCTGCGTGCGAATCACTGCCATTTGGCTGGTGGGCCCTGTGAGAGGGGCCGAGGCACAGGCCTGTTTGCAGGAAGCCGTTGTTCTCCCCTCCACCCAGTGCGCCAGCAGTGACCTGTATGGCCCCGTCTGGGCAGCCATCGTGCGCTCTGGTGGTCCCTGCGCACCCTTTTCACAGTCCTCAGCTCCATCAGGGTGAAACGTCAGGCTCGCTTTGGTCTTTGAGTGTTTTGTCCTTGCAACAGAATCAACTTTTCCTCCACGTTGCTTCTACTTTTGCTGCGTGTTGTTCTCCCGTACTTTTCTTTCTAACTGACCCGGTTTCCTTGCAGTGTTCATGTGTGTAATTTTTATTAGGTCAGGTTTCTAACTTTTATTCCAGTTGTCTTTTATAAACTTTACTTGGCAGAAACAAAAAGAAAAAAAAATACCCTATCAAATCTTGTAGTATTATCACGTTTTTATAAAGTTCAAGCATTTCTCTTGCCGGCGGCTGCTGTTTATTTCTCGTCTCCGCTCAGAAAGTAAAGAGCTCAGTCTTGGAGCTACTCCCCCTTCTGGCTGGCTGGTTGAAGCTGGCTGGGGCAGAAGTTCACTGTGCCTTGTGAGAGTAAGAAGTCTGGGGCAGTAACACTGCGGCCAGGGCCGCACAGGAGGCTGGGGCGCGTCTAAGGCCGCCTTGCGCACATTCTTCCCGGTTCGGATACTCCCGAGCCTGCAGGGCTGGCAGCGGGAGCAGTTTTGTCATTCTGTGTCCCAGGCTTTCCCCAACAAGGAATGCCTCCCTGGGAACCCAGAGGCCTGGGCTCGAGTCCATCTCCTGCCCTTCATGAACCCTGTAATCTGGGGTGAGAGGAGCTCAACACTGAGTGCTCACGTGTGGCTCTCCCTCGGGCCTCACCATCTGGTGAGCAGAACGAGAAAACAGCTGTGAGAGAGCTGTGCACTGGCTGGGTGGTAACAGCGTTTACATAACATAGCTGGACCTCCGCTTCCTCTTCTGGGAAGCTGGTGTAAGATCTGTGCAGTCTGTGCAGCCGGCGCAGAGCTGTTGCCATGGACTTGACTACGCATCAGGTCTTCGTGCTGCGATGTCGGTGACTGCTTGTCAGGAGGCCAAGGCAAAGAGCCAAGCTCTGCTTCAAGATCAGAGAGCTCAGCACCGGACAGAGGGTCCTGCCATCAGCCGCCTCGGGACTGTCCAGTAGAACTACCCGGACCTCCTCCCCTTAGATTGTCTCTCCTCCGTGTGTGAGAGCCATGGAGGAGGTGTGTGGAGACGAATCAGAGAAGGATCGGCCCAGCCCACTAGCAAGGGGCTTGCCTGGATATCCAGGATGGAGGTGTGTGTTGGGAGCCCCGAGATCACTCTCAGGTTCGGTAATTCACTGGGAGGGAGCCCAGGACTCAGCCTGCACGCAGGTGTAGTCAGGGCTCTTGATTTATGGCATATCAGGCCCAGTCAGCCAGAGAAGGAAGCGGCACACGGGGTGGAGTCTGGGGTGCCGGGGTAAGCTGCCTAGGGTCCGCTCCCTCATCATGAAGAACACACTATTCCCAGCAACGAGTTGTGAAATGTGGGAAATGCTGCCGGCAGGGGAGCTTATTAGAGATTCAGGACACAGAGTTTTCACCAGGGGCTGGGCGTGGAGGCCTCTTCTGCCCAGCATGTATCAAAGTCCTGGAGCCTTGGGAGGAGACGTTCAGGAGAAACCACACTGTGTACACGCTGTCACCACTGTGAGCCACTCTGTCCGTCAGCGCTGGGAACGGGGAGAGCCCTCCTGAAGTCTGTGTTTAGACACCAGGCAAGGGTCAAGCTGTGAGCAGGCCTTTCAGAGGACAGCGACAGACCTGCTGTGCCGTCTGCTGTGGAGGCTTTGTTGTGTTCACCCCACTCGCGCACCTGATAAGCACCCCTGGTAGCCGTGTGCCTGCTACCTGTGGCCCCAGTCAAAGCAGTACATTTCTTGTAAAACCCATCGTGAGCCAGCGCTGTGGCACAGTAGGCTATACCTCTGCCTGTGGCGCCAGCATTCCACACAGGCGCTGGTTCATGTCCCAGCTGCTCCTCACCAGTCAAGTCTCTGCCATGGGCTGGGAAAGCAGTGGAAGGTGGCCCAAGTCCTTGGACCCCTGCACCCGTGTGACAGACCCAGAAGAAGCCCCTGGCTCCTGGCTCCTTTCTGGCCCAGCCCTCACCTTTATGGCCATTTGGTGAGTGAACCAGCAGATGGAAGACCTTTCTCACTGTCTCTCCCTCTCTCTCTCTAACTGTGTCTCTCAAATAAATAAATAAAATCTTCAGAAGAAAAAAAAAACTGATCATTAAGAAAAAAACATTTTCCCGGTACAGTGTTGTGGCATAGCTGCCAAAGCCTCTGCTTGCAATGCCAACATCCCATATGGTCACTGATTCCAGTCCCAGCTGCTCCACTTCCAATCCAGCTCCCTGCTAATGAGCCTGCGGAAGCAGCGGAAGACAGCCCCAGTGCTTGGGTGCCATATGGGAGACCTGGTTGCAGCTCCTGGCTCCTGGCTCCTGGCTTTGGACTGGCCCAGCCTCGGCTGTTGCTGCCATTTGAGGAGTGAACCAGTGGATGGAAGATCTTTCTCCCTGACTCTCCCTCTCTAATTCTGCCTTTCAAATAAATAAATTTTTAAAAAGATTTATTTATTTGAAAGAGTTAGAGAGGTAGAGACAGAGAGAGAGGTCTTCCATCTGCTGGTTCACTCCCCAGATGGCCACTATGGCTGGAGCTGTGCTGATCTGAAGCCAGGAGCCAGGAGCTTCCTCTGGGTCCCCTACGTTGGTGCAAGGGCCCAAGGATTTGGGCCATCTTATACTGCTTTCAAAGGCCATAGCAGAGAGCTGGGTAAGAAGAGGAGCAGCTGGGACTAGAACTGGCGCCCATATGGGACATCGGCACTTCAGGCCAGGGCTTCAATCCACTGCGCCACAGCGCTGGCCCCATAAATAAATCTTTAAAAAAAAAAATTCCCAGCTGCCTTAGACATTGGTTGCACGTCCCTTAGCCAGTGGTAAGCATTCAGAGTATTTGGGTCCTTAAAGGACTGCTGGGGAAAGTGGCAGGGACTCATGCCTCTCGCAGCTTTTCCTTTTCCTCCTCTGACCCCCACACACACTTGGGCCTGACCATTCTTAGTGGAGAACTCTGGTTCTCAAATCCCGTCTGGGGCAGGAGTCCAGTCCTTTAAGGACTGGAGGAAGGATGAAAGTTGACATAGGAGCTAACGACATCCCAAGCTCTGAGCTAGCACCTTAGTTCCTTACCAAACCATTAGCGAGGAAACAGGCCCCCATGATGGGGGCTTAGTGTGGGTCACAGGCCAGCTTGGGGGGGGTAGGGCTGAGGCCAGGACCTAGGCTTTCCGATGCCAGCCAGCGCTGTTTCCATTAAGGACTAAGGCACCAAGGCCAATGCAGATGCCAGCTAGGGTCTCTTGGGTCCTGTCACACCTGACCAGTATCAGTGCACAGAGCTTGCCAGACATTTAGGAGAGCTCCCTCCCTTCAGGTCCTCACTCGGTTCATGGGTGACGACTTCCTGTAGGAAAGTGGAGTACCCAGTAAGGAAGCAGCTGTGTTCTCTTGTCGTCCACTGGAACAGCCTGGCCTTGGACCCCGAGGACGGGACAGAGCAGCTGCCCGAAGCATTCCTGTTGGATAGCGCAGCGCGGCACTGCTCCGGAGCCACTGGCTTTCCTGTTTTGTGTGTCCTCTGCCATCACTACCCGGAGTATCGTGGTTCACTGGCAGGAATCCCGTTTCCCGCTCCCTCACCAAATGTGGAGCTGAAGGTCCTGTAATTTGCCCTTTCCTGCCCCTGTGTCCCCAGAGTGGTCACTTGCAGTTCAAGGTGAGCCCCAGGTATGCTGCACACCGTCGTCAGCACTGACCACCACAGGAAGGCCCACTCATGGAGCTCTGAAACTCAGAGCTGCGTTAGCCCTACTCGCAGGTAGTGTGGATGGGGAATTTGCATGCTTGCAGGCCCTGGTTGTCACCAGGGTCTCCCCCGCACCTGGAATTTCTCTAGTGCCATGGAGCAGACTCTGCCAGGCTCCACCTAAGCCGTGGAGTCCAGGGCTGCCCATGGGCACAAGGCCTATGGGGTGTGAAGGGAATGAGGCCAGGAATGGACAAGACTGCACTCCAACCTCTGGGGCTCTCTTGGCCAGGAAAATGACCAAGGGTTGAAAACACACAGTTTTAAAATGTTGGCCGGCGCCGTGGCTCAATAATCCTCCGTCTTGCGGCGCCAGCACACTGGGTTCTAGTCCCGGTCGGGGCGCCGGAGTCTGTCCCGGTTGCCCCTCTTCCAGGCCAGCCCTCTGCTGTGGCCAGGGAGTGCAGTGGAGGATGGCCCAGGTGCTTGGGCCCTACATCCGCATGGGAGACCAGGAGAAGCACCTGGCTCCTGCCTTCGGATCAGCGCAGTGCGCCGGCTGCGGTGGCCATTGGAGGGTGAACCAACGGCAAAAGGAAGACCTTTCTCTCTCTCTCTCTCTCTCTCTCTCTCTCTCACTCTCTCACTGTCCACTCTGCCTGTCAAAAAAAAAAAAAAAAACAGTTTTAAAATGTCAACAAAGCAATTTCCTAGTTTTATCCAAGACACATAGGAGAAATTTTATATTTTTAACTGCTAATGATAATACAAACTTCCTGTGTTTCCACCTGCTTTCAGTATGGCTTTGATAATCCTTTAATGGTCTAACAACAGGGTTAGACCTTTTGGTCTCAGTTGTGCAAGAAATGTCACGTTTTACTTCATTGCAATCCTATTCTGAGTCCTATTCCCTCTCTAATCAGGAGGCAATTCACCTCAGTCATTGCTGGAGGCCCTCTGCTTCCTTGAGGTCTCTAAGTATCAGGAGCTTTCTATGGTGTGGGTAATCAGAGTAGGTTTGCTCGCCTGCAGTAGCTGCCACTGACTCCCAGGTGTCTGAGAGGATGGCTGATTGCTCCTGGAGCCAGCTTGGTTGGGGGAGCCTGGGGTATCTGGCCCTGCCCCATAGCTGTGCCCTTGAGCCAGCCCCCTGGAGTTTCCCACCCTCCCACTATATTGCCACAGGGCGAACACACATCCCTGTGGACTATGCATGACACCTGTTCCTGCCCCTAGCTGTTTCCTTGAGAGGGGCAGGAAAACAGAACAAACCCAAGTTCACAAGTGAATGGAGTTGAGGGCTAAGTAGACTTCCAGGACGGCAGCACCAGTTCCTTCCCGTCCTCGTGTGCGTACTCTCAGTGCTGAGGTCTGTCCTCCTCTCCATTCTATGGCTTTAGCCAGTAGAATGCAGCAGACATGACCCCGTGTCGATTCCAGGTCTGGCCCTTAAGAGATCTGGCAGCTGTTGGAGTCAGCCAGCTGCCATGTAAGAGTCTGGGTACCCTAGACCACGATACTCTGAGGAAGCCCTGTGGAGAGCCCCTGCGTGGAAACCCCGTGTGGAGGAGCCCC